GATATTTGGCATGCAGAAAGAAAAAAGCTCTACATTTTTGTTATGTAAATACCTCTTCAACATCTTCCTTTGAACTTTGTTTGGTATTAAAGATGTGCTTCCATTTGCCTGGTTTAAAGAAAATTCACCTGTTATCAATAATTTAATTTCGTACTGAAGCATTACCCCGACAACAGAAATAAGAGGAAAAGATTAAAGAAAAAATGTAGTGCACATTTGTGAAAATCTTTTGAAAGGGCCAGTCAAAATACAGCACAATGAGATATCTGCAAGCAAGAGGAAGTATGCCAAATGTTTTTTTCTTTAAACTAGGGGGTAGTAAAAGGCATTATTCATTCCAAAAATGAGGTCAACATAGAAAGACTTGGCTATCAGAATAAACAATGTCCTTTCACTACAAGGTAAGGTGCAGCAGCCTTATTTCTCCTGATAAAATGTGAGAAAGAGTATAAGTGAGAAAGAGTATAAGCTTGGAAAGTTAGAAACAGTTTCTTCACTAAATATAGTGTAGTGCTATCCCCACAAGGGTCGTTGGAATCCGGGTTCTCCTGGCCCTCGTTTTAGCAGCTGGTCCACACTGGTTCCTCACTCAAGCCCCTCTACTTGCCTTGGTCATGTGGTGAAGTGGTGGTCAATCTTTCCCCAGCAGGCATGTCATGTGGCTGGTCGGCCATTCTTCCTCTCGCCCTCTCTTTTCTCTCTGTCTTGCACTGCCTGCTGGGCTCTCCTTCCACAACCTCTGCCCCTTCCTTGATTCATCTGCTTGCCTCCCTTTCTTTCAAACTCCTTTTTCCCTCAGGCTTGCTCTCTGAAGCTTCTCCTATTCTCCCTATTGCCTTCTGTCCTCTCACATTCCTCATGCCTCTTTATTTCCTCCTTAGGCCTCTTATTTCCCTTTCCCTAGGCCTCCTTACCTTCTAGCTTTCCCCAGCCAAGCCTCCCTTTCCTCTCTCTCTTCCTTTCCCACCAAAACCTTCCTTTCCCGCCAAAACCTCTTCCTTTCTTCCCACCCCCACCGCTACAATAGCAATTAATGAAGATGTGTTGTGTGAAGGAATACACACAATACAGCAATTACCAACTTGAAAATTGGTAGCGCTTTAGTGCAGGGGCCCCCTTTTGGACCTCAGGGACCACTAAATTCATAATTTTAAATCCCGCAGATCACTAATATGAATCCAGCGTTCCGCTCGCTGTGCCTGGACTCCCAGTGACGGGATGGGGTCCTTCAGGCACTTAGCTTGGTCAGCTGTTTCTGCAAACTTAAACACTCAAAGAGCCATATGGAGTCATTTGCAACAGAAAACAAAACACCGGGATCTCTCATCTCTCTCTTTCTCTCAGTATCTCTCACTCTCTTTTTGTATCTCTTTTTCTCTCTCTTATCTCTTTCTTTGTCTCTCTCTCTCCCATCTGGGCCAGCCAGTATCTTGGGGAAGAGAGGAAGTTCCATGTCATGGTCAGAAGAAGTGCCTGTGAGATGCAGCAAAAGATGAAGCTTTGCTCCCGCTTTGGAATATGAAGCAAATCTCCCTTCTCAGGCCAGGCGAGGAGTGACTGGGAGGGGAGGGTGAGGTCAGCCAGTGTGGATTCAACTGACAGGAAGCCATAGCAAGGGAAGGAAAGAGTCTCAGATTACTGACACGCATTGCTTTGGCCTGCCTGCGCCGCTACCCCCACCCCCTTTTGCTGCAACAGCACTATTACCTTGTTCTGGGCAGCAAGGGCTGCACTACTCCTTACACTTTGTACTTCCTGCAAAGTTGCAAGTTACACATTCCTCCCTCTACGGCAGAGATTTCCAGTCCCACCACGAGCTGCCTGGCCAGTCCCATAATCCAGAGCTCTAGTCACATGTCCATTGGTTGGAGCAGCTCCTCCACCCGGGTGTGCCACGGACTGGTGATCTGAGGACCACTGGTTGGGGACCTCTGCTTTAGTGGCTCAATCTATCTCATCTACTCTGAGCCAAATTTGACACTGTTTATATTTATTAGCTTCCTAAATATGAAATCTGTTTGAAATCCCTTTAATAATGTCTAGAAACCCATAATAATCAGTTGTTTTCCCCCACCATGCCCTCTAGAGGCAGTAGGAACACAGTTTTTAGAAGCTGTAGCCAACTCTACATTGGAACACACATTCTGGAAAAGTTGGACCTTATATGTCTGGAAGATCCCAGCTTATGGAAACTTCCAACACTGTTAGAAAATATATAGACAGAGTGTGTTAAACTAAAAGTTAACTTCTTTGGGAGCCACTTTTATCAGAAACTATAAATATAGAAAGCATGAAATATGATGTGAAAATTTGTTTTGGCAAACTCTGAAAAGATTCAATTCTAGATCTTAATACAAGACTGCATTTTTGTTTACCAGATCTTTCTCCTATTTAACAATGTCGAATTATAGAGTTGACTTATATAAGCAGTGTTTTTTTAGATAACTGACTTTCCTATTAAAGCATAAAAGGCACTGAAGAGGAAGGGCATTTGTTTGAAAGGCTCCAGAATGAATTTTGTTTTTCCATATTATTCTAACTGCAATACTGCAGTTTCTTCTGAACATATTCAGCATATTCCAAAGCACAAGACAATATTTCTTCCCCCAACCCCCAAGGGATTTTTAACACAGGCCATCCTTAAACACATTTTTTCATGCTTTAATACAATGGAATATTTGGTCAGTATCACTCAGGCCAACCCACCTTGCAGAGTTGTTGTACATTGGAGAAGGGTTGCAGATATAGATTAGAGCTCTGAGAAGAAAGACATGCTAAAAACCTAATGAATAAATAAATACCCAGAGATCCTGGGACTCAACTTTTGCATATAAAGCAGGCACTCCTTCATGGTGTGCACCTCTCCCAAAGGGCTACAAGCAATGTAAAATAATAAATACAGCTTTGTTTTCAGTTCAATACTTCGGGGCCACATAATTAATTTTTAAAAATATATTTTGGCAGTTTGTTTCCTTTATTGTTGCTGGTTTTCTAACTTGCTGCTGGAAAGGAGATCAATAAAATCAAATATTTTGTTTAGGCAAGCACAGGTGATGTTAATATTATTTTAAAGCAGCCCATTTGCATTGAGCTAAATATCTAAAGAAGGATGCCTATGCACAAAGAGGCCCATAAGGGCAATACTTTCAGCCTCTGAGACACTGTACTATGCTAAAATATTACTGCTAAATCAAAGCAATGAAGTAGATGCACACATATCTTATAGAATAAATGATCACTTTAGCCCACCACCTTGTACAATTTATTTAGTATTTTTAAATTGCTAATTCAAACAAAGGACACTGGGCTTGTCGAGCAGAAGATGGCAGTTTGAGACCTAAGTACCATGTGACAGAATGAGCTTCTGTTTCTTGCCCCAGTTCCTGCCAACCTAGCAGTTTGAAAGCATGAAAATGCAACTTAATAAATAGATACTATTTCAGTGGGAAGGTAACAGCATTCCATGTTCCTTCAGTGATAATCATGCTGGCTACCGAAGTGTCCTCAGATGATGCTGGCTCTTTGGCTGTAAATTGGAGATGAACACCACCCTATAGAGTCAAACATGACTGGCAGGGGAAACTTAATTTTACCTTAATAGAGATCCCTAAGAGTTTCAAACCAGAAATCCAATGATGGAGAGGAAAAAAAACATGTTTTAAACCTTATAATTTCTGTTGTTTTCCCTGGCCTGAAGTAGGCTATGGAATTTAATAGTGTATATGTTACAAAATCAACTGAATACCAGTTACAGTAATGAGGATGCATTCTGACAGATATACATGTAAGGAATGTACATGCTTTTTTTTCTTAAAAGGACACAAGAATGTTGGACTTTCCCTACCTCCCCTATTACTGCACTGAAGTCAACCAAAAATTAAGAAATCACAGTTTGGTTATAGCTTATTCACTATTTTCTATTGAACTGAGTTCTAAACTGGAAATTCTGAAGTTCAGAGATCTTCTCTCTGAGAATAGCAGTTAAGTTTGTTTTACCTCAGTTGACAATGTAGGACTACTTACTTTGAAATATACTTTCAGTAGGATATACTGCCAAATATATTATCAGCATCAGTAACTACCTCTGATATTTCTGCATGGCTTAAAATATGCAGCCATAGCACATGTTTTTAATGTGGTAATTATTAATACATTTTTTTAGTACATTCCATTTCGTATTTGGTTATCTCACACATAAACATACTACTTATGTTAAATCTTTTACAAATCTTATCCAACAACATAGTATATGGCATAATGTGTAACAGTTTTAAGGTTCATTTATGGAACCAATTTTTCAGATATATGAAATTAGTAAATATCAGACATAGTTTCTAAAGATATCTAATATGGTAATCTCAACCGTGAAATCTGTGTAAGTGATTATACAATGGGATCCAAATATAGTAAAATTTTAAATCAGGTCTAATATTTAAAACGCTGCACTACAGAACCTCAACACTGACTGCAGGTAATCTAGTTTCAATCTGATGTTTTCCAAAGGTGTTGGGCAACTCCCATTGCCCACCCATATCTAGGAAGCACACAAGCTGCAGTTCAACACATCTGGAAATGCCTGGGGAAAGGGTAGAGTGATACATTCAATCAAGAAAGAGTTGGTTAATAATTTTTGAATATGCTGGTGGATGTGTTTTGGATTTAGTGGAGCAAGGAAAACCTCAAGGAACTATCCCATGATTTATTTCTCTTTTCAAAAGCTTTGTTTTGAATGCTGGCATTTTCCAAATGTAAAAATATGGTAGGGGATTGTAATTAAACCCAACCCTACCCTAAGCTGTGCTTATAAAGAAAATTCAAAATATCATTATCATACATCAATTCCAATCCCTAAACTTATAGTACCCCGAATCTCCATGTAAGGACATAACTGGGAGACTTCATGAAAGCACTCGCTGATCCCGAGGGGACGTCCCCCTAGGACGAACAGAAGGCCAGGAAGAATTAAAAGGTCTCGTAAGAAGACAAGTCTTTTCACTCACCCTCTGATTTTGAATGCCATCAAAATAATAAGAGCGGAATTAAAAAGCTGCCTTTCTTTGCACATCTGAATATGAATCATAGAGCGTACTCTGCAGTCGGGAAAAAGTGCTGTTTGTCTTCAATCCCTTCTTTCTCTCACCACCGCTGCTGTCCCCGTCCCAAAAATAACTGGCTCTCTACAGAGCAGCCACTCTCACCTCCTACAGCGCTTTCTAGGACACTGCAGTAGTTCTCGCCCTGCTGTTGCAGCAATAGGCTCTCAGCCCCGCTACTGAGGACGCATAACTTTGCCTCGCATAGCTTTGATGCAGCAGCGGTAGTCAGCAATCACTGGAAGAGAGTCATTCTTCTTCCGGCTGCTCCTTTGCCTACGCGAGAGCGAGTGTTTAAATCGCTCTCTTGTTTATCACCATTTCTCTTCAGCCAGCGCTGCTTCCAGGCAAGACCCTCCTATGCTCATGCTCGGTCCCGCCATGGCTGCTACGTTGCATCTTGGGGGTTGTAGTTTTCTTTCTGACCAATGGTGTATTGTTATACATACGTGTACTCTCTTTCTCCCTCTGAGGAGCTTATTTATTTCGCCGGAAATCTTCATGTAGAATTCAAACTATAGACCTATAGGTGTAAATTCCAAATATAAATTCCACTGAACTTACTTTTGGTAGGCAGATATTACATTGAACAATTAGCCAACAAGATGTTTTTAAAAATCTGAGCCAATTCTTATCAGCAACATTGTATAAATCTCTCAGGCATACGGTATTGATATAAACGTCTTAAAAACCAGGGGGGTTACCTGAAGTGCCTCTGGGTAATCAATCCAAATATCTTATGCTATTTCTATTTCATCTTTCTCTCCTCAGTGTTTTTAAGTTAAAATAAAAACTCTGTAAGTGAACGTTTCACCTAAGTTGTCCCATAGATATTTCTAAACTCCCAATGTGATGAGACATACTGTACCTTCTAGTGGTGGGATTCAAATTTTCTTACTAACAGCTTGGTGAGCGTGGCAGGGAAAGGATACTGTAAAATTTCCAGTCAGAGGTGGTATTTGCCAGTTCTCTGAATTACTCAAAATTTCCACTACCAGTTCTCCAGAACTGGCCAGAACCTGCTGAATACCAGCTCTAGTACCTTCTCAGGAATTGAACAAAGTTGGAACAGCCAATCTGCTGGAATGTGGGAGGATCATTTTGTCCTCCACAGATAACAAGACGTTGGACTAATTCTGAATTTTGCTCTTTTGGAATATTTTTCAGCAGGAAATCAAGAAATATTCAGGCCTGTTGTTGAATAAATGAATAAGAGCAACCAACAGAGTCTCCAGATGCTGCCTTATATTAGCTACTGTTTGTAGGCATACTCAGATATTCTCATGGTGATAAGATAGTTAAGTATCTTTCCAGTAAATTAATGTCAGCCTTTAACCGCTGAAGTGTTTGGCCCTGATAACTTGACGCTTATCTGGGGAAAACTACTTTTTAATAGCTGCGTATTGCATCTCCCACAGCTTGTTTGGTTTTGATACATGCACATAAGCACCTAGCCTCCTAATAAGAAGCACTTTATTTTATTTCATTTTAATGGCTGATTTCCCTCCCATTGTTCAGACAAGGCTACCACAGCAATTCCCATTTGGGTCACTAAGAATTAAACAATGATCAGATGTAACTACCATTCCAAGAATTCCCATCTAGAATGGAACTGGCAGAGCAGTAGTCATCTTCATAGGATAGAGGGGATGTGGACAGTGGTGGGATTCAATTTTTTTTACTGCCAGTTCTGTAGGCATGGCTTGGTGGGCGTGTCAGGGCAAGGTTACTGTAATATTTCCAGTCAGAGGTGGGATTTGCTGGTTCTCCGAACTACTCAAAATTTCTGCTACCAGTTCTCCAGAACTGGGCAAAACCTACTGAATACCACCTCTGGATGTGAAGCTGAAGGAGTAGCAGTGAGGCAAGTGCTGGTAGTAGTTTCTCTTGATGACTTTTGGCAAAGTAAAAATGGACTACAGAATTGCCAAATATTTTTGGAGAAAATTGACACAGCTTCTAGTTTGGCTGATTCAATCGTATGCTGTAGATTTTTGCTGGACTCAAACATCACTATCTGTATTCAAAATGGAGAGTCCAGCCATCAAAAGAGGAAAGGGGGGAATTAAGGGGAAAAGTCTGAATTGGATTTTGAGAGACCCAAAACATCTTAGCAGAATAACAGAGTTGGAAGGGACCTCTGAGATCTTTGTTTCAGACAAATAGGGAGGCTCAGCCAATCTCATTGAACACATGTTGTACTCTGACAATAAAGGTAATAATAATAGTTTCCAATCTCTTCTTAAAAACTTGCAGTGTTGGAGCACTCACAACCTCTGGAAGCAAGTTGTTCCACTGATTAATTATTCTGTCAGGAAATTTCTCCTTACTTTTAGGTTGCTTCTCTCTTTGATTAGTTTCCATCCATTGCTTCTTGTCCTGCCTTCAGGTTCTTTGGAGAATAAGTTGCCCCCCTCTTCTTTGTGGCAGTCCCTTAGGTATTGGAATATTGGTATCATGTCACTCCTAGTCCTTTCCATTAAACTAGACATACTCAATTCCTGCCACCATTCTTCATATGTTTTAGCCTCCAGTCCTCCCTAATCATCTTCTCTGCTTTTCTCAGCTTTCTTTCTGGTCTCAACATCTTTTTTTATATTGTGGCAACCAAAACTGGATGCAATATTCTAATTTTGGTCTTACCGAGGCATTACAAAGTGTAAAACCTTACTTTTCTCACCAATGAATTTCATTTTCAAATCAAACCTTTATTGTCAATGCACAACATATGTGCAATGAAATTGAATGAATGTCCCTTGGTGCAGCCCCCACCAAACACAAAATGCACCTCAATAACTTAATAAATGAAAGAAATAGAATCCCTAAACCCAAATAAGTAATAACTAACACACGTTCTCATATCTATATGTATGTAACCAGTGGTGGGATTCAAAAATTTTTACTACTGGTTCTGTGGGCGTGGCTTGGTGATTATGTGATGGGGTGGGCATGGCCAACTCCACATCACTCATGTCAAGAGGCCCTTGCCTTGAACCACTTGCCTGGCCTCCTGAGCTCTTCTGGTCTTTGTCTATTAATTGTCTACTACTTTTCTGTATCTTGTACAGAGGTGGATTTATAAACTGTACAGATGCAGAGAGATAACAAGACGTCCATAACAAAGAGAATTTATTGGTTCATCAGGTATCCTTATAACTCATGTTTGTGATGAAGTTCTTCTTTCATGACCAATCCTTTGTATATCTGCCTTGGAGTAAAAGATGGTTATCTCCTAACCCATCTTGTAGCAATGGAAAGAAGGTGCCATGAGTAAGAGAGTTCATACAAAGAATGAGGAAAACTTCCCCCAACCCCTTGAGGGTCAAACTAGTAACCAATCAGGATTACGGATGTGGTCACATGACATGAACTACATTTCCCAAGATACCTTTGACTACATTTACCATGATGCATTCCCTTAAGGGGGCAGCTCATAATTCCTAAGTAATTATCCAATTCCCATAGACTGGCTGGGAAAGCAAACTCCCCACCTGGAATTGTAAATTCCACTATTAAGAGAAAAAAAATTAACTATAAACTAAGATAAGCAGTAATCAGTAATACTAACTGAATAGCATATAACTATATAACTAAGATAAAACAGTTAGCTATATAACTAACAGAAAAACAGTAAACATTAATAAAGCATCAAACAAAGCAAGGCATGCAAAGCTTGAGGTTCAATCTTCAAGTTCAGCCTCTTGGTGCAAGTCTGCTGGTCACCTCTGGCAACCTTTTAGGGTGTACAGGTACTCTTGGTGGCAAAGGTGAAAGTCTGCTGGTCATCTCTGGTGGCCTTTTAGGGTGTACAGGTACTCTTGGTGGCAAAGGTGGAAGACTGGTGGTTGCATCTGGTGGCCTTTTAGGGTTGGAATGGTACTCTTGCTTCCACAGTGTCAAAGGGCATCAGGAAGCTGCTGGAAAGGGTGTTGCAGAGGCATATGCCCGTGTAGAGCATCTTAGTGGATGTCTGATGGTTGTTGGCAGTCGTTTAGGGTGTCCTAGTGAACGTGTACTGATCGGCGGCGGCCTTTTATGCTGGAACGTCATTCTTGTTTTCAATGGTGCCAAGGCAATTGCCTGGGTTGGAGCCTGCATCTGAGCGTCACTGACAATTCCTATGATCCCCCAACCTAGTGGAGATTTGATGGCCACTGGGCTGTCTGCAGCGCCGCTGACTGACTTGGAGAAGAGAAAGGCATGTGGGGCATTATTTCCCAGCAAGAGTAGGATCTCAGCCTCCAGATCTAGAATGGGGAAGTGATGCACCAGGTGCCGTAGGTGAGGCATGCTACTTATGACCTTAGGTGTTGTGATCTGCCTGCGGTTGTTTGGTACCCCATCACATTCAAACACAGGCGGTAGTGGGAACTGAGAATTTCCATCCAATGACTCAGTAGCTCTCCTCCCCACTGTGCTTTTTGGTCCATGGCACGTTGATACAGTGAAGTGAAGTTCATCCTGTTGCACATCAAAGAGGTCGAAGAATGTGGATCTGGCCAGGGTGCACGTGCTTTGAGTGCCTATCAGCATGTACATTTTCACGGCATCTTCAGGGTACACTTTGGCTAAACAGATGGGAAGACACGAACGAGGGCATGGTGGGTCGGCGCGCAGTGCTGTTTAGGCAGATGGCAGTCATCACCTGTTTAGGTAGGGGTTTGGCAGCCTCCCGAGGAGCCCTCTGTGTATCAGTCTGTGCTCCATTCAAAATCCAAGAAAGAAATACTTAGACTCCATAGATTAGAGAAAAGAAATCTTTTACTGAAAAATGAAATGATAGCATCAGGTAAAATTCTGAATCTGAGAAATTGGGCGCGCAAACCATATATACAAAGTGATGGAATTGTTCCCGCCCCTCAAAGTTCAAAAGACTCTTCAAATTAAAGTTCTGGATATGATCACATGGGCATCTTCAGGTGGTGATGAGGCCTCTGTCCGTTGACCTTGGCAAATTTTGATAAAGATTTGCAGCTGCACAAAGGAAAGAAAGCTAAGTGAGAAATAGAAAGCTAAAAGCAGGAATTTATACTCCCCCCCTCCTCATTTACACAACACAAGAATGTAATACCTCCAGCTCTCTTTCCAGACAATTCCCCCCTCCTCCCCCTGTTACTTATGGCAGCCAAAAGATGCAAAGCAGTAGCAGAAGATCTTGAAGGCTGACATTCGGCCCTCCTAGAAAAAAGACATTAGTCCTGCAAGAGAGAAAAGAAAACATAAAAGATACTGATTACCAATCAATTACATTTCTAGGGTTTGTCAGGATATTTTGTGCGAAAGTCTTTGATCAGCTTAGGGGCTCTAACATCCTTCTCATTGACCCACTCAGCTTGGGA